ATATTAATCTAAGCAAAGATTAATTAAAGATGTAAAGGAGCTACTCAAATGAAAAAAAAACAACATTTTAGTTTAGTTGCAAATTACCATTTATAAATAAAAATTAATCCTAATTATTTCCCTAGCAAAAGTATAGTCTTATCATACCTCAGTTGATCGATTATTGAGGTTTTGATCCTAGATAAATTGATTTCCATAATGATGAAAAATGCTAATAGGTAACACCAAGCTTTGCTGTGGGGTATTGTTGACTTTCATATCTAGAAATCCAAAAAAATCTCAGTGAGGGACGTGCCATTAGCCTATTCTATTAGCAGCGTTGATTTTGTTTTATGTGGTCATTTATCATATAGAGACTGAGATAAATATTCTGGCATTAATTCATTTTATTACAAAATTACAGATTCAGACCAATTCCTGAAGATGTCCTTCTTCAAGCTTTTGAGGTGTATAAGCTCTATATTATAGACATATATAATTAATTCATCATGTAGAAGGTATTCCCCCAAACAAATATAAGATGTCTACCTTACCCCCAGGTTTTTGACACAGCTAAACATGGGTTTCTGACTAGGGAAGAACTGATCAAGTATATGACTGAAGAAGGTAAGAAAGTTCTATTTCTTGTAATAATAACTTATTTAAAGGATTAGTAATTTTAAACAATTGTGTAAAAGTTATAGAGATACTTTAAAATAAATAATTTGGGGCTGGAGAGATGACTCAGCAGTTAAGAGCACTTGTTCTTGCGGAGGACCCAGGTTCAGTTCCCAGCACCCACATGGTGGCTAACAGCTGTCCATAACTCTAGTTCCAGTGGGTTTGACACCCCTTTCTGGCCTCTGTGGGCACTGCACACACTTGATACACATACATACTTGCAGGTAAAACATAAAATAAAAATAAACATCTTTTTAAATCAATTTATTTGCTTAAATGTAGTTATTATTCTTAATATCTTGGTTTTTGGGTGGATTTTGTAGAACAGAAGTGAAATGATCACTTGTATAAATTGCATTTACTCTATTCATTGAAGATATTTCTAGAATAAATGATGTGTCACCTAAAGAACATAAACTATCATTATAAATCAATGCCTCTATTAAACTGAAGATTTGAATAAGAGTATATGAAAAGTTCTCTTTAAAGTAGTAAAGTTGCAAATAATATAGCCTCAATTGAATGTGAATTCACACACTTTATTTTCTTACACTAATTGGAACACACACACTCATTTCCTTTAGAATTTCTCTTTGCCTATACCAGTGTATAAATTTGTCTCCTCTGACTATAAATAGCTTGATGGACAGTCTCTTGAAGCCATTGTCACCCTGGTCCCCTACCCCTCTCTCTCACAAAGGGAGTTCTGTTTCCTCTACTCAGCTCCCAGATATATGGACTGAGTTCTAAATGATGTAACAGTCATCACTTGAGATAACATGGAAATAGGCGTCATTTTGAGTAAGGAGACAGATACTAGCAGCTTCATGCACACCTGGTTTGGCCATGTTTGACTCAGTTCACCATCACGAAATAGGAAGTGGGAGAAGTAAGAACATGAAAATTATAGCTGCCATCCAGGATCCATATGATGTTAAAATCATCTTAGGGATTAACTTCGATGAGAATGTTATGACTTTCAAAGCATTAGCCTATTAATCCTAAGGATTAAAGGAAGTAAACCTAGATTATATTAGGCAGCATGAATTTAGTGAAAATGGTCAAAAAGTTTCAGTTTAATTCACATTTTGTGTCTACTGTAGGTAGTATTATTAAGCACAGTGAATGTTAATCGTCCTGAAATCTGATCCCTCTCTCGAGCATATTGTAAACTTATTGGGGAAACAAAACTAAGTTGTTAAATAGAATCAATATAAGACAGTAGAAAAATAAGTATCAAATCAATGCAGGCTGAACCATCCTGGAAAGCTTGGCCTAGGAAGGCACATGGAGAAAATAGTTTCCTTGAGAAGGTAAATTTATTTGTTTTTATTTTGAGACAGGGTATCATTCTGTAACAGAGGCTAGTCTGGAACTTACTATGTATCCCAGGCTGGCATTAAATCGTCCTGTTTCTGCCTTCTAAGTGCTATGATTACAGATGTGAGCCATCATGCCCTGCTTTAGAAAGTAGGGTCATTGAGGGCTCATATGATACTATGCATAATCATAACATATATGCACAAATCCCTCATATATCATAGGAATCAACATAATAATTATAACAAAAGAGCTATGAATGAATGAATTTGAGTAGTTGAATGAAAAAATGGATGAAGGTCTGACTCAAGGGAGGCAGATAAAACATTAGTAACAAAATCTGGAAGGAAGATAGCCAAGCATGTGAGGAAAGATAAATTCATCTGGCCCTGAGGCTCTTGTTGGCAAACAATAGGAAACTGATGGAGGGAAATTTGTTGGAATCAAATTCTAGAGGTCTGGTCTTGAGTTTGGGATCATCCCCTGGGCTGTAGAGAAGCATTGTCAGAACTGGAGATGAGTCATAGCTTGTGCTGTGGGAAAGTGATTCTGGTGCTGGGTGGTTCGTAGGGGAGTGAAAATGAGGTTCAGCCAGAGAGATGAGCTGGGAGTCTCCTTCAGCACTACCAAGTTCCCTAGTAAGGGCTTAGCCTGGCACTGGGATTGGAAAGAAGGACTTGATACAACAGGACTCTCTACTGCAGACCCTGGGCTATGATGGCTATCAGAGCAGGGGACAAAGATAGGAGCTAAGTGAAAAATAAGAAGACTTTGCTCTGGACCACAGCATCCTAAATGCCTAGGAAATCAAAAGATAAACATCATAAATCACCCTGAAGCAATCCTGCTAGACAGAAGTTCACATGTGTCTAGGACTGCATATTGCATCAGATAGTACTTAGCACCAGGGAAGATCTCAATTTATTTTTAAAGAAAATAAATACATACTGCTGTGTATCAAGGCACTTTTTAAATATTAACACATTTAATCCTTGTAACAATGCCATGGGTGGGTAGTATTATCATCTCTGTTGTGTAGACTGGGAAGAGAGGTTAAGCAACTTCCCCCAAATCTTAAAGCTAGTAAGATACTCAAACCTTGAGCCCTGTCCTTTGCCTCTCAAACTTGTGCTTTTAAATATTAAGCTGTTTTCTTTCCATCTTAAATCAAGTCTCTCCCTCCTTCCCTCCTTCCATCCCTCTGTGCTGGAGATCCCAGGACCTTGTATGTGATAGACCATCATTCTGTCACCTTGTTTTTTGTTTTTTTTTTTTTTTTTTCTTTTTAAGATGTGTAGGCAGATATCTGTGAGTTTAAGGCCAGCCGGGCCTACATAGTGAGTTCCAGGTCAGCTGGGGTTACAGAGACCCTGTCTCAAAAAGACTGGGGGGAAAAAAAAAAAAGACTCACTAAAGCCTGGCTTAGAACTTGCTATGTCTTGCTATGTAGCCCAGACTATCAAGCTCACTATCTTATTCTTGAGTGCTGAGATTATAAGTGTACACCACTGCAGCTAGCACTCATTACTAGTATTTCTTCAGGACTTAGATCAAAGCACATTTGGTAGTAGATTTAGTATCTAACAATCAGGTAAGAAATATTCAGAATTTGTCACTTTAGCATTTTAGGAGTTCTTTCTTAGTATGTAATGTGATTTCAAAGAACTCCTCACTGTTTTGTATTGTTTATTATTATTATTTTTTTACTTTTTTTTTTTCGTCTTTTTGAGACAGGGTCTCCCTGTAGCCCCCAGCTGTCCTGGAACTTGTTATGTAGACCAGGCTGGCCTCGAACTCACGGAGATCTGCCTGTCTCTGCCTCCCAAGTGCTGGGATTAAAGGCGGGCACCATCACGCCTGGCTTTGTTTATTGTTTTTATTGTCATCAAAATCCCTACTCTGGGTGTGATAGTGCATACTCATGAACCTAGCACTTAGAAGGTGAGTTGGGAGGATCATGAGTTTGAGGCCAGACTGGATGTAGTAAGATTTTTGTTTCAAAAAACAATAATAACAAATGAAAAAACAAAAACAAAAAAAAGTCCCAAAGTCCCTATTTGCATAAGTTTTATATTATTAACTGAATTCCAACATAGAAAGCACTGTGGACAGTGGGAAGTATCTAAGCTCTATGGTAGGTAACTCTCCTCAGGCCTTGGTGACTTAGCTTATTGGTTAATACACTTTTCCCTAAAGATCTAAGATGATGATTTGGGTGATCTGACTTTTGCTTAATATTGAAGCACAGTTCTACCTTAAATGGTCTGCAACCTTTTCAGCATTCTTCCCGAGTTTGTGTCTCACAGTGGTGAAACCAGTTTCCAAGGTGGCTCTCAGCTGTTACCTGAGTCCAACTAAAGCCCACAGATTTTCTAGCCAACTTTTGATTTCATCTGACGTCAACACGAGCCCAGGTTGAAAGAAGAAAGAGTTTCAGAATGATTGATGAGTGGCATCTATGGTAGGGTTCAGTTAGTATGAGTAAATGGGTCAGACCTGATGAAGAAAAAGTCAGAAATACAATGGCTATAGCTTGGAGTTCTGGTATCTGTTCTTCAGCAGTTTTGCATAGCTAACATTTAATCATCTCTGTATACTTTACTCAACATTAATTAGATTCACTTATAAAACTGCAGCTTCAAGAAAAATCCTTTCTCAGTTTCATTCATTTTAATTTAAATGAATAGATAGCTTTGTTTATAATGTTTTTATGTATTCCTGCTGTTTTGGCTGAAGTGATGGATTCTATAGGTTGCCGGGTCTCTGGTACCGTCAGGCTAAAATAAGACTCCAGCCTTGCAGGGTATAAAACAGCATGCTTTTTGAACTTCTGGACTGTCATAATGTGTTGGCTGTACAGCTCCAGGGGGGTCTGTGGAGCTCCATGGCATTTAAGATGGCTAGTGGAAGGAAGAAACAAAACAAATAAAAAAAACTTCAAAATGACGATTTCCCTTGTGTCTCTCCTAGGTGAGCCTTTCTCCCAAGAGGAAATGGAAGAAATGTTGTCTGCTGCCATTGATCCAGAATCAAATTCAATTAATTACAGGGACTACATAGCAATGATGGTGATAGATGAAAATTAAATGCTCTGAAGATGTAATTTCTGTCTTTTTCTTCTTTTAAGACAACTGTGAAGACTTAATCTTTAATTGAAAGGACAGTTTGAAAATTTACTTGTTCTGATTAATTTCATATTTTATCTTCTATTTTAGTGCCTTATGATATAACTATTTCAAGGTATTTTGTTATCTAAAGATGACCAGAACAATTTGAAATATAAATTTATTTAGTGTGACCACATTTATGGAATGACAAATTGTTGATTATTGAAAAGGAATCTTGAAACATTTCAACAATAAATGTATTGTTGCTTATTTTCTACAACAAGGCCAATGGTACTTGGAAATTGCTTAAACCAAGAAAATGAAGACTGGCCTAAGATTTGGTATAACCAGGTCTTGAGGTGGGCAGAGTGACTGCAGGCTGAAGGCTCAGCCGCATGGTGAGGGCACTTTGTAGAGGAGCAGCGAACACATCAGCAATCTGAATGTGGACCGAGTTTATGAAATGACTTTAATACTTGATTCATTGTGAATGCCAATTACAAATCTCATTCGAGATTCTAATAACTTGGTGTGAAAATTTAAATTTGCTCATCTAGCATGCTGCCATTTATGGAACAGCTAAAGGAGGTGATATAATTGAATCTAGAGAAAGGAAGGCTGGATGAAAACTGATAATGGCAACTTCTTTCTTGCTCCTTAGGATTCTCACCTATTCAGAATGTCTGTCATGGGAATATTGTCCTGAGTACTAAATGTGTTCAGCTTTTTGTTACCATAATGTAGTACCTGAGATGGACTAACTTTGTAAGAAAGAAGTTCATTCAGCTTGCAGTTGTAGGGGTTCAAGATCCAAATAGCACTGTACAGACTTAGCAAGGGCCGCTGCTTGTGTGCATCATGCCAAGGTGCCAATAGCAGCGGTAGAGCATGTGTTGGAGCAAGCGGGCACATCTCAAGCCAGGAGCAGAGAAAACAGCAGGGAGCCAGGCTTGCTCCTTTTATAACAGTCTTCTCAGAAATTACTTTCAGGGTTGTGGAGATGGCTCAGTGGGTAAAGGTACTTACTGTGCAAACATGAGAACCTTAAATTTAATCTCCAAAACTCACGAAAAACCCAAGTATGTTCATATGTGTATGTAGATAAGAGGATTGCTGGGGCTTGCTGACCATCAGCCTGGATCTAAGTTTAGTGAAACACCTTGTCTCAAGGGAATATGATAGGGAATGATAAAGCAGGACATCCTCTGGTCTCTTCACACACAGGCACACACACACTTGTGTGTGCACACCACACATACATATACCATACTAACATTTTTTAAATTATTTGTTTAATGTGTATAGGTGTATTGCTTGCATGTAGGTAGGTGCACCTGTGTCATGCAATGCCTGTGGAAGTCAGAAGAGGGCGTCAGATCCCCTGGAACTGTAGTTACAGATGGTTGTTAGCTGCCATGTGGGTGCTGGGAATTGAACCTGGGTCCTCTGCAAGAGCAGTCAGTGCTCTTAACCATTGAGCCATCTCTCTAGCCCCACTAACATTTTTTTAAAGGGTGGAAAATGAAAGAATTACTTTCCCCCCTTTTTGAGTTATTATTAATTATTTATTTTTAATAACCACATGATTAGAAACAGCATTTCATTACAGCTTTAACATATGCAGTAACAATTTCCAGAGAAAGGATACATCTCTTTCAAAAGTGGCTGTAAATTTTTAGGTACACAGTTGAATTAATACAGTTATACAATATTGAACTCAGTATAAACCCTGTAAGACATAAAATTGAATGAGTTTTTAACCCTTTAAAGAATTACCTTCTAAGAGCTCTTGCAGATAGTATAAGGACCTCCCACTAAGGCCCTACTTCCTGAGAGTTACACCACCTTCCTGGGGATCAGATCTTTGTGGGTAACAAAAACCATTTTCAAACTATAGTACTGGTAAGAATATTGAGAAGTTTTATGGTTCTAAAAGGTGTAGCTGTTGAAAGAACAGAATAAAGTCATCTGAGAACAGTGGGAAAACACAGACTTATAATAATGTCTTATAATAAAGTAAAAGAAAGTGAATGATCCTCCAAAATTGACACACTCTTTCCTATAGCACAAATCCACAGTGATCTCTACCAATGATTGCTTCACTACCACAGTATGGATCTGGGATTGTCTCAAAGGCCCATAGGCTTGGTCTCTAGAGTGGCACTTGGTGGAAGCTGGCTCAACCTTTGTGAGGTAAGGCCTTGTGGAAGGTCATAGATCATTTAGCATGAACTCAAAGGAGACAGAGGATATCCATCCCCTTTTCTCTTTTTGCTTTTAGCTACCATGAGGTGGTCAGCTTCATCTGCCACATGCTCCCACCATGATATGTTGCCTTGCCAGAAGCCCAAAAGCAATGGTACCATCTGATCACAGACTAAAGCTTCTAAAACCACAAGTCAGAAAAATCCTTTGTCTTTTAAAAGTTGATTATCTCAGATAATATAACCCCTACATATGTGTTTTATACATATAAGTATGTAAGGTTGCTTATGATTATTCCTCATATTCATACAAGTCTGTATCCAAGAGATGGAGTTGCTACTCCAGAGACTATTTATCACTCTTTGTGTGTTCATGAAACATTTTTACTGACTATCATTAGATAACATGGAGTTTAAAATTTTAATCTCTAATTAATGAAAGTTACAGTTTAGTGAGGGAGACTTGCAATCCATCAGCAATCATGTGTCAGATAATGACACATTCCGGGGACTGAATAGAGCATATGAGAAGCAACTGACTCATCTACTAGAGAGTAGGCATGCTTTCTGGTAGACAGAAGGTGCTAGTGATTAGAGAAGGCTCCTAAACAGGTAACACATGACTTCAAAACTTAGTCGTTTTAAAAAAAGCTACAGGGAGACCCTATCTCAAAAAGACAAAAAATCTTTGAGAATACTGTCTGCTTTGGTCTCTTGAGCAGCACCCCAGCCACCCTTTTCCTAATTCTCTCTTCCCAAGCAGTTATATTCAGGGTGACCTCCCTGGAGGATACATTCCTGGATGTTTGAATATATAGGACTTCTTGTTCGTGGGTTGCAAATCTGGTTGGTGTTTTGTCTTTGTTTTGGATTGGTGCTGGGGGTTGAATTTAGGGCCTAATGTATGCAAGGTAAGGTTACTCTACCAACTGAGATATACCCCTAGTCTCCTGGCTCTTTCTGTTTTGTATTTTGTTTTGTTTGTGAGACAGGGTCTCCCTGTGGCCCCAGCTGGCCTAGAACTCTCTATGTAGACCAGGCTGGCCTCAATCTCATAAAGATCTGCAAAGCTGTATTCTAACAGATCATGGGTTAGCTGAGATTAAGGTTTTAGTGTCTGAGTTTGAACTTTATTCTGAAAATCATAGAAAAAGGAGTAGCATTTGTAAATACCTGAGGAAGAATGTGAAGATTCAATACTGGAGGTGAGGAGACCAGGTGGTAGGCAGCTTGATTGTCAGGAGATGGACTGGGAAAAGTCAAGCACAAAGCCCAGGTTTCTGGCTTGGACAATCAGTCAATAATGATACCAGTTATTTAGATAAGAAATCCAAGGAGCAGACTGGTGAGCTTGGCTGTGGTCAACTTGGGATTGAAGAGCTGGTAGAACATGAGATCATTTGAGTAGATAAATGAGGGAACATCTGCTAGATGTGGGCTTTGGAGTTGTCAGCACAATAGTGTGTTAGAAAAGAGAAGAGGATCAAGGGTATAACTGTGGAAGACATCAGATTTAGAAGAGGGCAGATGAAGATCCCACAGAGTGTGCGAAGGAGAAGCCTGAGAGGAGAGAAAGCCAGAGGGAAACCATGACAGGAGAGGCTCTTGTGCAGTCAGGAACCACATCAAATGTGGTGGAAACATGAGGAAAATTGATGGTAGAGAAACATCCCTCTGTTTCTACATCAACACATTCTCTGAGGACCTCCCAGATTTGCTGAAGTCATCTGGTGAAGTGACAGGTAGTAGAATTCAGTGAGTGTGGGAATAAACAAATGTGAGAAAGAGACAGAAGGCCACGCTGCTGGGCAGTGAAGATGGAAAGCGCAGGCAGAGGAAGGGAGTTTGAAAGATGTAAAGTATGCAAGTTTGTTCATGTATTTGTGTTCCAAGGGCTGAGAGGTGGCAGAGGAACTGAGGACACTCAGAGGGGCGGGCTTCAGGGCAACAAAGGGATTGACCCTAGTTAGGGATGTGAACCAATGTATGTATCCCTGCCTAGTGGCCTCTATCTCTCTTAGCTTTTTATTTTTTAAAGATAGGATCTTGCTGAGCTTAGAAATTTGATGCCTTGCAGGTGCTAGGATTCCAGGCCTGAGTCACCACACCTGGTAGTTCTATCTTTTTAAGTGAGAAGGAAGTCAGTAGGTTATAGAAGTGGAAGAGAATGATAAAAATTTGATATGTTTTTGGGAAATGAGAAAATTGAGAAACCATCCATATAAGGATTTTTTTTCAGTTCATAATCAGATTTTTCTTTGTTTAAATGTTTAATTTTTTATTAAATGTTTGTATATTTCATAGAGAAAATCTTAATCAACTTTATACCTCTTCCCCATTAGTACCTGACCATAGCCTCCCCTCCACGGGAGTTCATATATTCTGTCATTTGTGTTAAGGCCTATTGTGTCAAGTTAGTGTCCCCCGATGTTCCTCAGTGCAAGTTCATCTACTGAAGTCTAGTCAACCTATCTAGAGTCCCTCCCTTTAAGAAGATCAGTTATTCCTCACCCAGCAGTCATTGGCTGCCAATAATTTTTCGACTAAAATTGTGGCCTGCTGTCTATTTCCACAGTTCTGTGCTGGGTTTTTGTCTGCTTGAGTTTGCATGGGTCTTGTGCATGCTGACACTATTGCTGTAGGTTTATATGAGAAGGGTCCCCGGAGCCTGTAGGACTCTATTTCCATATGGTCAAGCACCTCCTCCATGATTCTTACAATCTTTCCACTCCCTGTTCTGCAGTGGTCCCTGAGCCCTAGGTTGGGGGATTATAATATAGGAGTCCTGTCCA